ATCTATCTATCTATCTATCTATCTATCTATCTATCTATCTATCCCCATCCATCGTATCTATCTATCTATCTATCTATCTATCTATCTATCTATCTATCTATCTATCCCCATCGTATCTATCTATCTATCTATCTATCTATCTATCTATCTATCTATCTATCTATCTATCCCCATCGACCCATCTATCTATCTATCTATCTATCTATCTATCTATCTATCCCCATACAAACCCCTCTATCCACCCCAGTCCCCTTGGAGAGCCCAGGAGTCCTGGCTCCCAGCCCCCCTGCTTAAGGGAGAGGCCTGTCTATTAAGAACGGTCACACCCAGTGGGCTGGGAGAATTGCTTGCTTGGAACACTGCCTAGTGTCAGAAGGTTAAAGATTTAGCCTGGGCGCTGAGCTTTTCTTCTCTTTGGTAACTCTCTCTGACCTGTTGTGCCCACCACTGATAACCACTTCAAATCCAGCGTTCCGTCATTAATTCCCGTTTTCGATTTCCCCGAACGCCGTGTGTTTTGGGGGAATCTCAGCTCCGGTTACAAAGGCTGGCGCATTGTCCTCTCCGCATTGAGGGAGGGGCAGCCTCGCCAGGCTTCTGACCCGGGCAGGATGGTGCAGCCCTGGGTGCAGGCTGGGAGCCGGGGAGATTTGGCTGGGGCCTGTCTCGGTGGGATTCGGGAGCGGCTCTGGGAGCGTTCATGCAATGTAGCTGGGTGTGGGGCTCCACATGCCGTAGTGCTGAGTGATCACAGCGCCTGGAGGGGTTTGCTGGTGTCACTAGCACAGCCCAGGCTGGAGAGTTAAGGGGGCACAGCGGTACCCCAGTTCCAGGTTGTACCCCGTGGATCCTGTCACACCTCCCAGAGCTGGGGAGAGAACCCAGGAGTCCTGTTCCCAGCCCCCCTGCTCTAACTACTAGACAAGGGGTTCTCAAACTTTTGTACCGGTGACCCCTTTCACATAACACGCCTCTGAGTGTGACCCCCCCATAAATTAAAATCACTGTTTTATATATTTAACACCATTATAAATGCTGGAGGCAAAGCGGGGGTTGGGGTGGAGGCTGACAGCTCACCCCCCCCATGTAATAACCTCACGACCCCCTGAGAGGTCCCGACCCCCAGTTTGAGAACTCCCCTCCCAGAGCCAGGATAGAACCCAGGAGTCCTGACTTTGATTCCCACTCAAATTTGCTCTTTTAAAACACAGGAGGGTTTTTGTAACTTTAGCTAGATAAAGAGATGCTGGGTGTGTATGAAGATAGATGGAGGGGGTGGCTGGGGGTAGATAGATAAGGTGGATGGGTGGATAGAGGGGTTTGTATAGGGGTGGGTAGAGAGATGGGTCCTGGCTCCCAGCCCCCCCGCCCCCGCGCGCTCTAACCACTAGACCCCACTCCCCTCCCAGAGCTGGTTCATGTGCCCCTCGGTGGCTAATTACAATGGGCCTCAACTAATTATAGCTCTGTGCCTTGTGCCATATGCTCAATCGGCTTTGGTGGGTCAGATCTGTCAGCAAAGCGGCATTAGTGTCACGGTTGATCTGTCAGGGACGGGGACGGCTCCGTATCATGGCGGGGGGGGGGGCAGAAAGGGGACAGCATCACGAGTAGATGGGTTCGGGGGGACCCACAGCTCACTGAGCTCCACTTCCCGCAGGCCTCTGGGTCGAAGTGTCCTGAGGAGCGAGGGAGCTAAACACCTCTCTGGGACCCCGGGCTCCTGAGTACCAGCACTCATGTAAAGCTCTGCACCTTGTGATCCCCCCCAGCTGGAAACAGAACCCAGGAATCCTGGCTCACAGCCCCCACACCCCTGCTCTTACCACTAGATCCCAGCCCCTTCCCAGAGCCGGGGATAGAACCCAGGCATCCTGGCTCCCAGTCCCGCTGCTCTAACCACTCACCCCCACTCCCCTCCCAGAGCCAGGAGAGAACCCAGGCGTCCTGGATCCCAGTCCCGCTGCTCTAACCACTAGCCCCCACTCCCCTCCCAGAGCCAGGGATAGAACCCAGGCGTCCTGGCTCCCAACCCCGCTGCTCTAACCACTTGCCCCCGCTCCCCTCCCAGAGCCAGGGATAGAACCCAGGCGTCCTGGCTCCCAGTCCATCCCATTCTCTAACCTCTAGCCCCAGATCTGCCTCTGCAGGGTTCCTAGAGTCCTCTGACGCAGCCAGTGCTGGCCACTGTTGGTGCCGGAATACCAGGGTAGATGGGCCTCAGGTCTGACACAGTCTGGCTGTTTCTGTCTTCCTGTAACCCAGGCCAGAGCTTTGCACTCAGTTATGCCTGCTTCCAGCCCAGATCTGATGGCTGTGCTAGAGGGGCTCTGTTAGAACGACATCTGGTCCTGATGTGAAGATAAGGTGACCAGATGAGATGAAGAAAATATCAGGACACCGGGGGAGGGGGGCAAAAAAAAACCCGAGTGATCCCGGTGGCGCAAAATATCGGGACAAAAATTGTGTCCCGACCAGAGATCGGTCGGGACGCGGGACAAACAGCTCAAAATCGGGACGGTCCCAATTTTATCAGGACGTCTGGTCACCCTATGTGAAGACGCCAGGTGATGGAAAATCCACCCATCTCATGATGGAGGTAACGGTGCATCATGGGAGATGGAGTCCAGCTGAGGGAACGGGGCCTACGGCAGGAATGGGGACATTAGAGACACAGAACTACAACTCCCATGAGGCACTGCAGCAGCTGAGCGAAGGGAGGAGGCCACAGTGCATCATGGGAGTTGGACTCCCGCCAGGGAGCAGCCCTTAGGGAAAAATGGGGGTATCAGGGTCACTGAACTACAACTCCCATGAGGCACTGCAGCAGCTGAGCCATTTGAGGAAGCCACGGTGCATCATGGGAGATGGAGTCCAGCTGAGGGAACGGGGCCTATAGTAGGAATGGGGACATTAGGGACACAGAACTACAACTCCCATGAGGCACAGCGGCAGCCCAGATTCCCACACCAACCACGCCCTTCTCCAGTGGGTTGACACATGCGTAGGGTGTGTGGTTTGGGGACAGGCGTGTGTGGTGGTGGAGGGGCTGGCCACATGCGTGCGGCTGGGTTGCATGTGCTGTCACAGTGTGTATTTGTGAAGCAGTGCTGTGTGTGTCCCTCTGTCCCTGCTGGAGGAGATATGCCCTGGTGTGTGTATGTGTGTGTGTGTGTATAGTGAGGGGTGTCTGGGAGTTCTGTGTGGAGGGATAAATTGTATGTGTGTATAGACATTGTGGAGGGGAGTTGTGTGTATGGCTGGTGGTGGGGTTTTTTTATTAAGGAAGTTGTGTGTATGTGCATACACTGTGTGCTTGTAATTTGTGTGTGTGTGTGTGTCCCTGCCGCCCCCTGCTGGAGGGGCTGGTCCCTACTCTGTGCGTGTGTGTCTGTAGTGGTGGGGGTGGGAGCGACCCAGTCCCCATGTGGCGCTGACCGCCCAGCAGAGGAACTGGCTAATTGGCTCCTTATCATTTCATCTGCGGAGTTGAGACGCCACTTGCCAAGAGGCGGGGGTAGGGACGGGTGGGGGGGCCAGGGGACTTGGCCAGGGCCATATTAAAAAGAAAACAAAATTACTGCACTCGTGCCAGGCAGATAAGGGAGAGACGGAGCCTGGGACAGGGACAGAGAGCGAAAGAAAGAAAGAAGCAGAGAGACGGCGTGAAGGGCTGGAGCAGGGGGCAGAGGGCCGGGCAGGGAGGACGGAGGGAACATGAAAGAGGAAAAAGAAGGGAAAAACCCAAGCGCTCAAAAGGCCGGGTGTGAGGTAAGGCGGGGAAAGGACGTGAGAACGCCCTGCCCCATGGGGGCCCGGGGCAGAGCCTGGCAGCGTTCGGGGTGGGCAGTGGGGGGCTGAATGCTGGAGGGTAAAGGAGAAACCGGGGGCGGTGGGGAGAGGAGCCCATTGGGGGGCCCCTGCCTGGTACATGGCCTGCGCCCCACAGCTGAGATGTCAGTCTGCACCTGCCTCACATCTGCCACGCCCAGCACATCTGGAATGGCACCTCGCCCCCCCCACCCTGCCCCCCAGCTGGGCCACCCTGCACACCTAGAATACACCGCACAGCTGGCCTGCTGCCCCATCCCCACCCTGCCCCCCAGTTGGGACCCCCTGCACATCTGGAGTGCACCACACAGCTGGCCTTCCAACTCGGGACCCGCCGCCCCCCCCAGCTGGGCCACCCTGCACACCTAGAATACACCGCACAGCTGGCCTGCTGCCCCTCTGCTGGGACCCCCTGCACATCTGGAGTGCACCACACAGCTGGCCTGCCACTCCGGCCCCGCCCGGCCCCCCCAGCTGGGACCCCCTGCACATCTGGAGCGCACCACACAGCTGGCCTGCTGCCCCGGCCCCACCCTGCCCCTCTGCTGGGACCCCCTGCACATCTGGAGTGCACCACACAGCTGGTCTGCTGCCCCAGCCCCGCCCTGCCCCCCAGCTGGAATGCAGCCCACCCGCACTCCGGCTCATATCCATGCCCCACAAGACAGGTGGCCCCCCCACTGCCCCGCCCGACCCAACGCTTCCTCTTGGGACTTCTAGAGCCGGGCTTTGCAGGACCCACTGGGCCCAGTTCCCCTGCCATCGCCTCCCCGGCGGGCCTCGCTGGTCCCCGGCGCCTGCTTCAGAAACCTGGCTGCCCCGTCAGCTCTGCCATGCAATGGGGCTGCGCTCTCTTTGCCAGGGGCCTTCTGACCCACACGCACCTTCCTCCCACTCTCAGGGCCCGTAAGGGCAGACTGGGGGATTGCTGGGGTGCCCTGCACTGTGGCTAATCCCTGCCCCACAGGGCCCATAGGGCAGGGCGTTCTATGCCAGGGGAATATTTATTGTAGGGGCTTAAGGCAGGATTCTGGATTTAAAGGTACAGGCTCTCGTTTGTGCTATGCCGCAGGGCCACGTTACACTCTGCTCGGGGGGATGTTTTTGTAGGGTCTTCCAAGCCAATTCTTTATTTAAAAGCACAAGCCGCCTTTTGGTGCCTTGTGGCGGGCGGGGTGGGGGAGACCAACGTTATTGTAGGGTCTTTGGGCAGGCATCTGGGTTTGTAACTCGGTTCCCATACTCCCAACCCCCGTCTCCCCCCGCTTCTCTCTCCCCAGATAGGAGCTTGCCCCCACCCTCCCCCACCTGCCATGTCTGCCCCCCCGGTGCCATCCGACCACGTGACAGTGAACATGGCCACGGAAGAGGTCCAGATCCAGCTATGCCCGGACCCACGTCTGGTGAGCACGACCACAGGAGGCGTGGAAGGCGCCTGCCACCACTGCCTCCTGCCCTTCAGCGTGGTGGCGCTGCTGATTGGGGTGGCAGTGACGGCCGTGGCCTACGCCCAGGACACCCACGGCTCGGTGCTGTCAGTGCTGGGATTGGCCCTGCTGGGTGCCGGGGCGCTGGGCCTGGCTGGGAGCTACCTGGCCTACCGCTGCCGGGGCCGCAAGATCAGGGGCTGGAGACGCGGCAGCTTCACCCTGTTGGTGGGGGACCAGCTGCAGAAAAAGGTGGTGGTGTGAGAGTCCGATCCTGGCCAGCGTGGGACACCAGTCCGGGTTCTGCCTCCATCCCAAGTCCGATTCGGGCCGGCGTGGGTATCCGGGCCGGGTTCTGCCACCACCCAGAGTCCCCTGACTGAGCCATCCCACCTCCTGCTGCATGGGACCTGCCCTGTGTTGTGTGTCATTGCCCCTGTACCACAGGTCGCGGGGGATTCACCTTTAAACCCAACACTCCCTCGCCCAACTCTCCTGCCTACTGACATCACAGCCTCCAGCCCTGCCTCAGACTCCGGTTGCAGCCCTCTTGCCGCATGAACTACACATCCATGGGCCCATCTAGCGTGGCATCCCGCCTCCAGCAACAACCAGCATCTGCTGCTGTGGCGGAAAGGCCTGAGACGCCCCCGCACCCCACGTGCGATTATGGAATAATTCACCTGGACACTGCGCTCCTGCCCTTGCTGAGAATCCTGTGGCCGGGAGTTCCGCAGGCCGTGCAAAAAAATATCTCGCCCGCATCTATTCTCCTCCCTGCTGTTTTGATTTAAAGGGCCAGCCCAGAGCTCAGACAGTGGACAGGGTCCAGGTAGAGGAGGTCTCTGCCCCTGCTCAGGGGCTGGGTTAGTTATGAAGGTTTCTGAGGAGGGTAGCGCTTTGGAGCTGGGTAGATCAGCTGCTGCAGCCCCCTCTGGGGTGGGGAGTGGGGGCTGGTTATACGGGGATCCCCCCCGCAGTCCCTGAGCGCAGCGCCCCCTAGGGCCGCTCTGGGGCACCAGGGCCCTGGGTGGTGCCCGGCCGGGTGGGACCCGCCCAGTTGTTGCCATCTCAGTGTAAACAGCGAGAGCTTATCAGCCCCGGGCTGGGCTCCGGCCAGGTCAGCGCATTGTTCGCAGCCTTGTGCCCGGCCGTGCCCGGCGCCCCCCGGCTTATCTGCCTCCCGCACAGGGGCTGGGGGGGGGCTGAGGTTAGAGGAAGCATGTGGGGGGGGCAGCACCCTGGAGAATGGATCTCTCTCCCCACTGCAAACATAACCCCCTGCCCTGCCCTCCCCCACAGCCCCC